GATTTTCGTGTGCTATAGTTCACCATCTTTTTTGGTGATCCATAATTCCGACGTCATTTTTGACAAATTTTTTCATGGACGTCCGTTAAGACCTTAGTTATGGAGCCTGTTGGCCCTGACGGCCAAAACGACCAATTTTCAAGGTCAAACGATCCCCGGAGCAGGTAAACCTCTTATTTTATCAATTTTCGTGTGTTATAGTTCACCATCTATTTTGGTGATCCGGAATTTCAATGTCATTTTTTCCAAAAAATTTCATGGACGTCTATTAAGACCTTCGTTATGGAGCCAGTTGGCCCTGACGGCCAAAACGGCCCATTTTCAATGTCAAACAAGCCTCAAAGCAGGTAAACCCCCCATTTTGCCGATTTACGTGTTCTCTAGTTCACCATCTTTTTTGGTGACCCGAAATTCGAACGTCATTTTTGCCGAAAGTTTTCATGGACGTCCACTAAGACCTTAGTTATGGAGCTAGTTGTTCCTGATAGCCAAAACGGCCCATTTTCAAGGTCAAACGAGCTGCGTAGCAGGTAAATCCCCCATTTTGCCAATTTTCGTGTGCTATAGTTCACCATTTTTTTTGTTGATTCAGATTTCCGACATCATTTTTGCCAAAAATTTTCATGGACGTCCGTAAAGACCTTACTTATAGAGCCAGTTGTCCGTGACGGCCAAAACGACCCATTTTCAGGGTAGCCCCGGAGTAGTAAATCCCCCATTTTGTCGATTTTTGTGTGTTATAGTTCACCATCTTTTTTTGTGATCCAAATTTCTGATGTCTTTTTTGCCAAAAAAATTTATGGACGTCCGTTTAGACCTTAGCTATTGTCACAACCCAGGGGTACCCCCTAAACGTAACACGGCGTACTTGACCCCGAAGGGGTCTCATACAAGCCCTTAGCATATCATGACATAAGAACATAGGGAAAATGCAGAAAATTAAAACTTTTCTTTACAATCGAAGTCTTTCATATAATAAGAGAGAGTCTATGACACTATGTCTCATATCATCTATAACATTTGAATTAAAACTCTTGAATACAATCTTAGAGACATAGCCCTTACATAAGTCTAAAACATAAAGGAAAGACATAAAGGACATATGGTCAAGCCCTCGAATACTATGTGGACTTCACCAATCTTCTTCTTCCTGATCTACTATAGTCCTAGCCATGAGGGTAGAATCTGATATCACCAAACCCTACACTTCTAGAAAATATAGGAATATAGGTTAGCACAAAAATGTACTAAGAATGGAAGCCATGCATAAAAATCCTTAAAACATGCATAAAAGGATATTTTATTTGAAACCATGTTATATGCCACTTTTGAACATCATCTTTGAAATAGTTGGAGAATGTAGCTCATGAGACAAACCATGCAAAATTCATCATAACAAAAAGGATATCATCATAATCACAAGCATAGTCTCCTACACAACATAATGCATACTCCAATCTTCACAAGACATAGTTCACATGCATAATTACATACCAAGATCATATCATCATAATAGAACTATCATATAAGCAACCCTAAGCTACACTTGTGCAATGCATAGATAGGATCATACAATCCTATCTACAATAAGTCTCACTTTTAGGCCACCATAATCATGCATAACATACCTTAACCTTATCCATAGCCAACACTCATAGCAACAACCCATATCATGTATACATAAATTCACATATCTTCATAGCATAAGGAAACCACATCATAACCCCTTATAAGTCTACTTGTGCAATGTATAAGTGAAGTCCCATACCCCCACTCACACTAAGTAAAGCTCATTAAGAAGTCATAAGTATAGTTCATGTTCATAATTTATATAAAGCATACATTAACTCATAATCATCATATCATAAGAGAAACATACCATGCCCACTCTCAAAGTCTACTTGTGCAATGCATGGATGAAGTCTCATACCCCCACTCATACTAAGTAGAACCTCTTGAGGAACCATAATACATAACTCATGTTCTTATCATAATTCATATTCTTATCATATAAGGAAATATAGCCTTAACTGACATAGACCATGTTGAGCTACATGGAATCCGGTGTCTAACCCCCACACCGAAAATAGGTGTCCTACTTGTCTAGGGTAGAACTAACATGTTTAGTTTTTAGGTGGATCGACTAGCTAAAGACCTATGTGGGCATATAGTTATGGGATAGGGATATTACTACTATAAACCCGGACTACTAGCGTAAAAGTGTAACACCCCATAAAAACTAGTAAGACCTAGCTAAAGCTTAATGGAAACTAGTATGTGAAACTAGAGCGTTACGTGTGAGCTTTTGAGTTTGATGTTTGGTTTTAGGTTGTAGATTGACTTCCCAAGCTTAGTTTGAGGTGTCTAGGGGTTAAATGTCAAGGTACGACCCCCAAAAGACCAACCAAGGGTCCTTGAGGGGGACCCTAAAGTCTAAACCCCCAAGGCTGCCTAGAACCGAAAAGCTGTCAAGAAAATGGTGAACCACGGATGGGACCTATGCCCCGTAGGTCCATCCATGCCCCGTGGATGGCCTCAGTGGGTCAAGGTCCCAAAAGGTGATTTGCAGCCACGAACCATGCCTCAACAACATGTCTTTGACCCCATCCACGGTCTGTGGATAGGGATTTCGTGGTTTGCACCTGTGTGTTGTCCAAAACTCGGCCAAGTGAAGGGTGGTTTGGTAAATTCCCCCTTTGGTTAGTTGAGTTATTGGACGGTTATTATTGGCTTATTAACATAATTTAAGGGTTTTTAAAGTATTAAAACACATTTACAACTCTTTAATTCATTATAACCCAAGACCCCAAATCAAAACCCAACTACCTCCCTCTCCCAGAATCTTCTCTCTAGAACCTCTATTGAAGAACAAAGAAGGAGATCAAGGAAAGCTTGAAGGAAAGATCTTTTCAATACGAATTTGATAGGATTCTACACCTAAGGTATGGGAGTTTTCATCCTTGGGAAGCTATCACCCAAGGAGCCCTTTCAAAAGCTTTTATCTCAATTCTAGAAAACTCAATTTGCTAGGGTTTCAACTCAACTCCATGGATTCCTTTTAATGTTGCTTTTAAAGGTTGAATTATGTTTGTTTATGAATTTATGATTGATTTTATATGATTTTAACTCAACTCCTTCAAGAATCCATGAGACCCTCAATCCTAGTTATGGTTCTTCTTTACATTATGTGATGGTTTTGCAAGTTGGTCTAATTAATTGGATGTGAGTTGATTATGATGTAATTTCATGAGTTAAGTATAATTATACATGTATACTTGATTAACCTAAGATTCTAAGGTGAATTGATGAGGCCTAGGGCTATGTCATGAAAGAGGCAAAGTGTAGGTTTAGGTGTGACCTTCTAAGAACAATGAACTTCTTGATGGCCAATTTTCAAGGTCAAACGATCCCCGAAGCAGGTAAACCCCCATTTTGCCGATTTTCGTGTGCTATAGTTCACTATTTTTTTTGGTGATCCAGAATTCCGACGTCATTTTTGCTAAAAAATTTCATGGACGTCTGTTAAGACCTTAGCTATGGATTCAGTTGGCCCTGACGGCCAAAATGGCCCATTTTCAAGGTCAAATGAGCCCCGGAGCAGGTAAACCCCCCATTTTATTGATTTTCGTGTGTTATAGTTCACCATCTTTTTTGGTGATTCGGAATACCGATGTCATTTTTGTCGAAATTTTTCATGGATATCCGTTAAGACCTTAACTATGGAGTAGTTGGCCCTGAAGGTCAAAATGGCCCATTTTCAAGGTCAAACGATCCCCGGAGTAGGTAAACCCCCTATTTTACCGATTTTCGTGTGCAATACACTATCTTTTTTTGGTGATCCAGAATTCCAACGTCATTTTTGCCAAATTTTTTTATGGACGTCCGTTAAGACCTTAGCTATGGAGTCAGTTTGCCTTGACAGCCAAAATGGCCAATTTCAAGGTCAAACGATCCCTGGAGCAGGTAAACCCCGCATTTTGCCGATTTTCATGTGCTATAGTTCACCATATTTTTCGGTGATCTAGAATTTCAAAGTCATTTTTGAGTCTTTAAGGGTAGTTTTGAGTCTTTTCCGTATTAGATATTATGACTAAACATAAGTTATAGTACTCCCTCCGTACAACAATAGTTGGTCACTATACTAAAACAATTGTCCAACAATACTTGTTATTACCCCTATTCTTTATTGTTTTTAAAGGGTGTGTCAAATCAATAGTGCACAACTATTAAATGAGGTAATCAACCTTGTACTTTGTGCTTACACTTATTTTTTTTCAAATGGTGTTTGACTTCATGTTACAGCTCAACTAATGTATATGTAAAATTTATTCAAGGATGAAACACTTTCTACCATGATTTTTTTTTAGGGCTGAACTGGAGACCTCTAGCTAGTTAAGAGTGAGGAATATCTTCTTTCTGTCCGAAGTAATTTTAGTGGGTGTAGTCAACTTTTTAAATATATATTATTCCAAGTGGTTAAATTTGTGACCAATTAATCTTCAAGATTATTTTGTTAATATAATCAGCCATCATTATCAATCCCCTTTATTAAAAAAAAATGTGGGCGACGTTTTTATATGATGATGTTACTCATGATGATTCTTGGATTTCCATTAGAAATTTAACAATTCATAAAGCCACCAATATAGATGATTCCTTCTACAAGTCTTAAGTCAAAGATGGATAGCTTCAAATAAAAGCTACTTAGGACAAGATTTTGTCAGCAAATATAATATAATTTCACGAAACGATCATAAAATTAATATTTATCGCAAATAAATAACTCATATTTATATTACTTGAACGCACATATACACTATTATGTACGATTAATTAAACATGTATGGACATATAGAAAGAAACAGTATGATATTATTGAAACCAAGAATAGTAACATAAAAAATAAATAAAAAAACAAGAAATGGACTTGTTCTTACTTGATCAACAACTTGTTTTGAATTGAATGTATAAATAAAGTCTTTCTAATTTTTTACTTACAAAAATCTGAAATTACTTACTTACAAGTTAAGAACTGTAAATATCTTTACAAAACAAACAATGATCAGAAATTAATCTCCCTATTATACTTCCTTTTTCAATTCTCATATTACTACTTTGCTTATTCCAAAGATGAACTCCATAAGTCTCCCCACTAAGTTGTAACAATTTTGCATCTATCCATCTTGAATGAGTTCTTGTATTTAATTTCATGAAGAATCCGGGAATCCGAACCCAATCAACTGGATAAAATGATATAGGTGGCAATACAGTGAAATTGAGTTGATATTTTTGTGTAGACATCATCTTCAATCTCTCCACCACTCTTGAAACCAAATATGGACCATTTTGTCCCCACTTATTTCCATCAAAAGATAAAGCAAATTCCTCCATAAACTTGTAGAGCAATGGATGCTTTCTATCAAAAATCAACACAGCATTATTCAATCTTGTCCAATTCCCATTTGCAGATACGCTCTGCGCTCCAATAGAATTCCTCAAACTTGAAAAATCTTTTAGGATGATAAAATCTGTGTCAAGATAAACACCTCCATACTTGTACAATACAGCTAGTCTTATCAAATTGGACAAATTCTGAGCTAATGGGATTTCACCAGGATCCTTATTACCTTTCTTGAGGTCAGCATACCATGTCTCAACTGGCGTCCTGTTGAATAGAAAAGACAACTCTGGAGTAACGCTAACAACGTTATATCCTAATTCTGTCAAAGGATTCAAAATTTTAACCCCATGAGGTGTATCTAGAGTACGCGAAAGAATGATCAAACAACCTTTTGGATGAGATTTAAACAGAGTCTCCAACGCGAAAAATTCCCTCCTCCCGAAAGTATTTGCAGGGGAAATCCATGTCATGAAGAACTTCACTCTGCAATTTCTTGAATTCAAGAACTTATTTACTCTGCTGTTGAACTGCCTCGACAATCTTGATGACTTTAGAATACTAAATTCAGGCAATTTTTTCTTGAACCAAGAAATCCTCTGTTCCACTGTGAGATTAAAAGGAGGAACTAAATTCACATGATCATCAATGTCTTGTACTTCTTCTTTGATTATATGTGTTTCTTTTTTCTTCGAAAAATTTGGTTTATGTACAAAAGTTGATTTCAGTGGCTGTTGAGAACTTGATTTTGATACAAAAGCGATTGAATGAGATGAAGAAAAATTAGATATGAGATTATCAGAAAAAGTGACAATAGAAATAATCAAAGCAAAAGAAAGAACAGAGAAAAGATGAATTTTTCTTGCTCTGTTTTTTCTATAGTAATCAAACATTTTCAATATTGAAAAATAAATTAAAAGGTAGAGAGAAAAAAAAAAAAGATGAAAATTTTGAGTTTTTTGAAGAAAATTTATAGTAGTCTAAATATGAAAAGTTCTAAGTTTGTTTTGGTAAAATTTTATAAAATAATTGGCTTAGAGAAGACTTATGGCTGCTACTTGGAAGGAGAAGGATGTTGACTTTTGGAAAAACAGATTTTATTTTATTTTATTTTTATTTGGTTTATTTTATTGAAGGAGTTGATTTCTTTTTCTTTTTCTTTTTTTTACATACAAGAGGAATAAGGAAGAATTTTGAAATAATTTCATGTTATTAATTAATATTAGAAGTTACCTCTTTTATTTCGGTTGATAATTGCACATAAAGAAAGTTCTATACATAGAATAGTAATAATGTTTAAATATACAAATAGGGTTTACTTGACTTTATGTATGTCTTTTAAAAATGTATCAATAAAAGATTTCGATAATATATAGTGATGGTGTAAAGATTCTTTTACATATCAATAAATTTTAACCATTAATAATAAGATAATTATCATTTTTTTCAGACAATTAGTTAATATTTATTATAAAGATTGATTTATAATTACCTTGTGAATTATTTGATTGTGCAAATATTTTATACTTAATGCTAAGTTGTGTTCATGGTTCAGTTTTGTTTGATTTTTGTTTAAAAGGAACTAAACTAGTTAAGTAGATTTTTGGGATAAGGGTATGAAAAATACCCTAACTTTGGTCGAATTTGTTGTTGCGATACTAAACTTTCATGAGGACCTATTACCTCCCTAGACTATTTAATACCATATTTTAAACATATATATTTGCCCACGTGGACATAAAAAATAATGCAAAATTATAAATAGTAATGTGTCCACGTGGGCACATATATACCTTTAAAATACACTATTAAATAGTTCATGGGGTAAAAAATACGGTATTAAATAGTCTAGGGAGGTAATAGGTCCTCATGAAAGTTTAGTATCGCAACAACAAATTCGACCAAAATTGGGGTATTTTTCACCCTTATCCCTAGATTTTTCAAATATTTAAATATATCAAAAAGCTTTATATTGAAAACGTTAATGAAAGAGAGAGAGAAATGATTATGAATAAGTTAGGAAAATAAAAATATAAAACGTCTATTATAAATTTAACGTATTTGGTGAATGTTCATTCATAAATGTTTTCTTGTACATGTACTTAGTTAAGTCAATATTACTTTGGTTATGTTATCTATTACTTAATTGTAAGATTTAAGGGAAATAATTGAATTGTCTTTTGATATGTTTGAACTCATCCTTTTTATTTTAAAATTATATTTGATTTAGTAATTTAATTTGATTCAACGTAATTTCTTTATACAATGCATTAAATCAAACAAATTATTACAATTTGAAATATGATGAAACTGTTTATTTATTGATTAATTCATTTTTATGTTTGATTTCTTTGTTCGGTCTATATTTTAATATTTGTTTACTAGTTACTAGCTAGTAGTAGTCGTATTTTTTATTAGCATTATAAATGTCAGTTGATATCTAAATAAATTCTATAACATTATTTGGTTTTAGCACATAAAATAGTGGAATGCACCCCCCCCCCTCACCACCCCACCTCCCCCCACCAAAAAAAAAAGACATAAGTATTGTGGACATATACTTAAATGAGATATCCCTAATAATATTTTGTGCCAAAATTAATTATTTTTTTAAAAAAAGTTGCATCCTTTATGAAATAGAAATAATAGTGTTAAATTAGATTAAATACTGTAATTGATAAATTATAAAAGAACCAAAACAATGAAACTCTCCCGAAGGATTTTCTCTTGTTCTCTTTTGTATTCTTAATTACTACTTAGTTTCTATTAAAATATGTCCAAGGTAAAAACATAATATTAAAGAGTAATAAAGGTGAACATATAATAAGACCTTTGTATACATTCTTTATATTATAACAGTTCACTATAAAAGGCTAAATATTTGGAGAATTAATTTTATATTATATTATATTATACTATATTTTTTATAACATATTTTTTAACTATAGTAGCAACAGCGTTTTCATAACAATATCTTTTATAAATTTAACCCTTTATAATAACAATAGTTTTTTTTTGGTAATATAATAAATATAAAAATTAATTTTATTTATATATAGAAATAAAATATCTAAGATCACTAATAATAGGTCTAGAAATTTTAGCTAACAATTTTAATACTTTAATACACGATATGACAAAGGATATTACATGAATATATTTCCATCATTAAAAATGTTTTCATTCTTTTATGCGAAGTGTGATTGAGTTAAGGGTTTCAAATTAAAGTTCTTATATCGATATTTTATTAAGGGCATTTGTGTTTCTTAATATACTAATTTAGTGTACATGTTCTGCACATGTATTTCCCGCTAATTAATAAAAGTATAGTCAATAAAATAAAATAATTAAAAATGGTAATTGATGTTAAAAAAAATTCTATATACATCCAATATGATAAGAATTCCATATTAAAAAATTATTTTTAAAATGTGAATCTTTTTCTCTCATATTTTTGATTGAATAATTAATTTATTTTATTTTTTATAATTTAAATAAGATTTATATAAGATAAAAATATTAATTTCAAGGTTTTAAGTGTTAGGACTTACAATATAGTTTAAATAAGGAAAGATTTAAGAGAGTCTTTTTTAATTAAATTTTAAAGGATGAAATATTAGGAGTTATTTCCTATTACAAATAAAAAGATTTAATAGTTATATATTTAATTAATTTCAAAGTCCTATAAATAGTAGGATATATTTAATTGCTAGTTTAGTGCAGATGTATTGCATGTGTATGTAGAATTAATAGTTCAAAAAATGTATTTAAGCTATTAAATATAAAAAATGATATTGTTATGCCAAATTTTAGGCCAATGGCAAAATTCCTAATTTTCCTAACGTGGTTTTTTTTTTTTTTGGTATCTTGTTGATGCCTCTTGTTTAGAATATATTTTTCTTTTGCCATATATTTTTAATAGAAGTACAATACACTACTATCATTGGCCGCAATAAGAATTATTTTTCAAAAAAAAAATTGATGAAAAAACTTTATTAAGTAGCTTGTCTCTCGAAGTTGAAATTGGGGATTTAGTGAATTTTTTCAACTCTATTTTTGTTTGTGTTGTATCTCTATTAACTAACTGTTTTTCAGAGACAACAATTTTATGGTAGTAAGAAGACGAGCAAGGAGGTCGCACTGGTCTCTGGCCAGAGAGGAGAAAAATGAAAGAGAGACAATAGTCAAAAGATGTATCTAATTAGGTGAACAAGTATGTGACAATATATGTATCTCATAAAATATATATGTATCTAATTAAGAGTTCATTTATTGATAAGTATACATGTATCTGAGTTGAGGTTATATGTATCTATGAGAAAAGATTTCTTATATTTGTAAAAAGTTAGAAGAAAATTGAAATTTTGAATTTTTCATGAGAAGAAATTCAGGAAACAATGCGTGATTTGCTCCTAAATTGATGTATTTCAGTTATATTTTAATATACTTAGATACGTATAATTAGATGTATCTTAGCATTTGCCTAGATACATGTATGGGGACCAAAATAAGGTACAAATGGTATAATTGAAAACCCATAAAAGACCGATAATCATCCCCTAAACTAGTGAAATTTATGTTATTTTTCTTATATTAAACTATTTAATTGACTATATTGATTTGTAATTGATATTCTTCCACATTGGCAAAAATGTAATTTTTGGGTTTATTCTTACAACTGTTATATCGTAATAAAAAAACTTCCAATTTTATAGTATAATAAAGTTATAAAGCTGACATTTAAATATTTACATATAGAGAAAATCTAAGATCATATGGACAACATAACAGAATTCAAAATTATATTTTAGCTAAATACAATTTGTTTCAAAAATATGTATCACACAGCTAAGCCACATGAGAGCAAAGGTCAAATTTCAAATTTAATCACTCTTCTGAAATTTTCTTCTCTTCTGTAGTCTGCTGTGTTAATATTTATAGTCATCATTTGTCCTAAAGCATCATGAAAAATAATAACAACAACGATAATAATATATGCTATATAATTTTATAAGTGAAGTCCGAAAAATATAAAATGCATATCAATTTTATCTCTAAAATAAAGTGCTTAAAAAAAATCTTCAACTAAAATAACGCATATCAAAATAGTCTGAAAAAAAAAATATTACATAAAAGCATCTTTAAAAACAATCATTTCAATTTCTTTTATAACTTTTTTCTCTTTTTTGCTGACCAATATTCCAATTGATTGGGCAACTATAAAATATCGGAAAATATCACCACTACTGATCCATATGTACTAGTGGGAATATTCTGGTAATCCTTTTTGGGAATACTATTTTAATATCACCACTGCTAAATGTTTCTCGTTGTATATATTTAAAAGTAAAAATGATAAACATATGACTTTGAGTATCCCATCCATATTTTTGTTTGGTTATTTTTGCTTATTGGGGTCATGACTAATTTTTGAGAATATAATATGTAAAATGAGTTTTAACTTTTAAGCATGATTTAATTTTAAAAACTAAATTAAAAGGAGAAGATTGTCCAAATCATACTAAGAAAGCCCATCACCTCATTCATCACCAATTTAATATTCATCCTTCATCATCATCAAATTATATTTTTTCAAATTAACATTTAAATTCAGTTAAAAAGATTATAAGTTATACTAACAATAATTATAGGCATAAACAAAAGAGAAAAAGTAAAGTATATTATTGTTAAAACATTTTAGCATAAGAAAGCTCTAGCCATATAGGTGTCCCATTAATTAAACCTACTTAAATTTTTCCAGCCATTTTTGAATCCTTTTTAAGGAGTTATTATTATTATAATTATTATTTTCAATAATTCAAGAAATATTGGAATTTATAATCGTATGTATCAATTTGTATTAGTAATATGAAAGAATGTAATGAAATGATTAAAATTCCCTT